CCCCCCCCCATGGAGAGTGATTTAGATTTGAGTTAAACTCATCCAAATCAGGTTTTGATAATTGAAGTGTAAGTTATAAGAAAGGCAAACTCTAGACAAAGGATTTTTGTGGCTAATAGGTTTTGACAGAAAATATTTTGTACATCTGTTTAGTTGCAGTTTGGTGGAATTGACACATTATAAATTAATTACTGATTCAACAAAAATGTTGATGTCTCTGTACTTTACATTTTAGGGCGTTCATAGCAAACTCTTATCTTGTGTCTTTAGCTGTCCAGACTACCCTCAAGTTTACATACAGTGAGAAATATCCAGATGAAGCCCCCCTTTATGAAATATTCTCGCAGGAAAATCTAGAAGATAATGATGTCTCAAGTATTTTAAAATTATTAGCATTACAGGTAAGGAATAACAGGTTTTGTAATGGCATTATTTTTTTTGTCCTTAAGTATTATACATCAGTTGCAAGAGTTAAATATGTATAATTAATACATTGAAAAAGCAGAATTCATTGTGTGTGTGTGTGTGTGCGCGCGCGCGCATATATATATATATAATTTGTTTTCCATTCTACCTTTAAACTTTGGGTAAGAGAAGTTGTCCCTATACCTGCCTGAAACACAGTCAGCCCCATGACTTTCAGGTATAAAATGTGTGATAGGTATAAGCATAGCTTCAATTAGGTTCTCAGAATATCGAGTCCCATGTGCAGTTAAAAATTCCAACTGAAAAGAAGATTTCCAACCCCTCTGACCTGTTGCAGGCTACTTGCCTACAATCTGGGAAGAGGACTGGTGGTTGATTTTGTTTTTTCTTATGTTTTCTTCTCCCTAAACTTACAGACAGCAACAAGGGTTTATGACATCTCCAAGAGGGGAGGTTATATGGAAGAAAAAATGGGTATTAGAAGTTCTTATTTGGCTAGTTCTCTGATGGGATAGGCTACCTACAGTCTGGACTTGGCAGGTATTTAAAGCTGTCTCTTACTTGGGTAGAGAGTTTTCATGTGTTCTTCAGAGTAGCGAGTGAGTGGGACAAGCAAAATCTTTACCATCTTAAAATCAGAAAGTCCTAGCTTTGTTTGTTTGTTCTATGAAGAATTAACAGAAAACATGTCTCCACCTTAAATGTAACTTGTATATTTCAAGGACTACTGGTATTCTTAATGTTGATATTTTTAAAATATCTGGAGCTATTAGCAAATGAAAAGAGAAAGAAGATATATCAAACATGAATTTATGCTGATCCTGAATCCTGTTCTCTGTTACCCAGTATGAAATTACACTAATTATAGTGCCATTTGGCATAACATGCTTCATTTAAAACATTGCAGAGAACCTGGGACAGTATGCTATATTCAGTCAGTCATGTATTAATGTAAGTTATTTTGATCTAAGTGATTTATTTTCTTGCATTTTATATTTTATTCATACTCAACTCCTTCCTTTAAAAAAATTTCTTTCTAATACTTATCTGAGATCAGATGTATTGAGGGAATATTTGCACTTTTCCTCTAAAAATAGTTGAATTAATATTGAATTATCAAAATAGTAAATTCATATTACAAAATACTCATGAAAAATACAGAAAAACATGAAAAAGAAAATAGAAATTATTGTTAATCTCACCAACCAGATGTAACTGCCTATTAACATTTTGGTGTGATACAGTTCAGACTTCTTCTTATACTTATATTCATAGTCCCTCTCCCACCCCAAGGTAGATCATTCTATACATAATGTTTTATAACATCCTTTTTTTCACATTACAGTGTGTGGCATCTTTCCATTTTAATAAGCATATATATGAATCATTATTTTTGATAACTGCATAGGATTTCACTGTATGTGTAATTACACATAATTTTTGAAACATCTTAAAATTCTTATTTTTGCCTGCTTTATAATATATAATTCTTTGAATATTTTTGTATGTCACTATTTGCACATCCTTAGAGCATTGTCTCCTTTGAATTCCTAGAACCTGGCACATAGTAGACACTCAGATTTATTTTTTTTAATTAAAGAATGAATTATGATGAGTGTACTTGTCCAGAGTCTTCCAGAAGTAAGATTACTGGATTAAAGAGTACGCATATTTAATTTTATACACACTGCCAAGTTGACCGTCAAAATGGTTGTGCCAAGTTATGATTTCACTATAGCAACTGAGGGTGTCTGCCCACATTTACTAACCTAGGTATTTTCATTGAGAACGAAACAAATGATGAAAAAGTAAAAATAATATAAAATCATAATTTGAAATTCTTTAATAAATAGTGATGTGGAAGTCTTTACCTATGACTTCTGGTTGTCTAGTTTCATTCTTATGAATAGTTTCATTCTATATGAATGATTCTTTTTTTGCTTTTCTGTTGGAATATTAACTTTTTGAAAAGAGATCCTATTGGTATTTGTTCTTGAAATGTATCAAGTGTTAAGTGAGATAACTAAGACAGACACCATCAACACCATCTTCTCTGTCATAGATTTTATACTCTGATGTGGAGTATGGACTGGCAAACCAGATGCCATTATTCTTTGTGAAAAGTGCTCTGATGGGTGAGGTACAGGAGTGAACGAATGGACATAGATTTGAGGCACCTTCCTAGAGGAAGCTGAGACCCGAAGAAAGAGTTTGCCAGGCAGTAAAGGGAACAGAAGAGTTTCAGGGTAGAGGAATGAGCTTGCCTTTAAGGGTCATGGGAGGGAGAGAAAAGAGATCATTATTTCCTTCCAGAGCTTTCAGTCTTACTAAATTACTTAAGCTTAGACTTTGAGGTTTATGGTTACATGTGATGGAATTTAAAAGGTTAATTCCCAGAGGGTCTTCTAAACTGCTTAAAAAGTACGGTCTTGCTCCTGATTGGTTTGGAAAGCTATTGAGAAGTTTTTAAGCAGGAGACTGACTAAATGAGTTTTGTGTGTGTATTGAATGGTCAGAGAAGTTGATGTCAGGTTTTAAAAAGACCACTTGGGTATTTCTTGTGATATTCCAAGCTTAAGATGATGGTGTCTGATGAGAGTATTGACAGAGAACAGTAGGCAAATTTAAATGGCATATACAAATAGGTAAGAGATGGTGCTAGAGTTTAAGATGGGGTAGTAGTGTTCAGGTTGGATAGATGGTGGTGCAATTCTCTGAGATGGAGAACTTAGAAATAGGTTTTGTGGAGAAGATGATAGTTTCCGTGTTGAGATGCCTTTGTGACGTCCAAGTCACTGTCCAGTGGTCAGTTTTCATATGGGTTGGCACTCAGGAGAGAAGTTTGTTTAGAGTCAGATTGAGGATGATTAGCATGAAAACACACAGAGAAGCTTCATTGCAGAGGATTGCAGGAGCTGGCTTGAAGCTTAGTACTCACGGAGGGCCCAGGGGATGAAATACTATTCAGACCCTTCTGAGGCCAGCCCTGTCAAAGGAATGCTTGGAAATCTCTTTAGCTTCTAGGACAGAGATTCTGGCTTGTAAATTTTGGATTATTTTTGGTCTTGTTTATCCACAGAAATAAGATAGGAAACCTATCTTATAAACAAGATATCTTATTTTATTTTACTATGCCTTCAAATGACCAACTTCCAGGTAGCTTTTGAACTAAAGCCCTTTCATGAGTCAGAGATGCCTTTTTTTTTTTTTTTTTTTTTTTTTTTTTTAATTTTTTTTTTTTTGTTTGTTTTTTTAGAGAGAGAAGGGAAGGGGGGGAGAGGGAAACATTGATGTGAGAGAGAAACATCGATCGGTTGCCTTCCATATGCACCCCGACAGGGGACCAAACCTGCAACCTGGGCAGGTGCCNATTGATCGGCCGCCTCCTGCATGCAAGCCCGCAACCTGGGCATGTGCCCTGACCAGGAATCGAACCACAATCTCCTGGATCATAGGTCGATGCCCAACCGCTGAGCCACGCCCAGCCAGGCCAGAGATGTTTTTATATTTGGTTTTGAACCATTTCAAATCAAAAGAAAAAAGGTAGATAAAAATAAATCACAGAACTACCTACAATATTTGTTATTTTATTATATTAGAAAATTGCTCTGGCCTCACAGTTCAGTTCATTGTCACAGCTCTTAAAATATCCAAAAGGAACTAAATTAATGAAAACATGCTTGAGAACTGATGCTACTAGCTTCTGTAGGAAAGGTTTTCTGAATTCTACCTACATTTATGATTATTAAACAGAATTTACTGAAATGTCTATTTTAGGTTGGATATGAAAAATTACATGACTTTTTAAAATTATGTTTAATTTTTAAATAATCATTTATCCAAGTGTCTCAACTGATATATAACTGAGTAATTATATTATGAATGTACAGAATTTAGTTATTATGCTGAAACACTTTTTTTATTGCTTAGTTTTTATTTGAGAAGTATGCTTCTCACTATAACCTCTTTGTTGTTGTTGTTGTTGTTAAATAGGCAGAAGAAAACCTTGGTATGGTGATGATCTTTACTTTAGTGACAGCTGTGCAGGAAAAATTAAATGAAATAGTGGATCAAATAAAAACTAGAAGAGAAGAAGAAAAGAAACAAAAAGAAAAAGAAGCAGAAGAAGCCGAAAAGGTACATTAAAAGCCATGTTTTCCTTCACTATTCTCTAAATCTGGTATTTTTTGTTTTGAGTTTGGGATTTTTTGTTAATTTTTTTGGAAATCACAAAAATAAATGAAAGTAAAGCTTTTATAAGTAAAATCTTGGAAGTCCCTCATTTAGTTGGTGGCATAACATAAGTAATGATTAATAGTCAGTAAAGTTTAGTAAAGCTCATGCAGGTAAGATCAAGAAATATAAATTATTTCACTTATGGTATAGAGTTTAGAATGAATAAAGCCCCCACCAGAGTAACTTACATACAGTCATGCACTGCTTAATACGGATATACGTTTTGAGAAATGCATTGTCAGGTGATTTCTTCATTGTGTGAACATAGACTGCACTTCTATGAACCTAGACGGTATAGCTACTGCATACCTAGGCTATATGGTACAGCCTATTGCTCCTAGGTACAAACCTGTATAGCATGTCACTGTACTGAACATTGTAGGCAGTTATAACACATTTGTGTATACAATAGTTAAGTATTTGTATATCTAAACATAGAAAAAGTTCAATAAAAATGTGGTATAAAAGATAAAAAATGGTACACCTGTACAGGGCACTTACCATTAATAGAGCTTGCAGGACTGGAAGTTGCTCTGGGTGAGTCAGTGAGTGAGTGGCAAGTGGATATGAAGACCTAGGACATTACCATACATGCTTTAGATTTTATAAACACTGAGCACACAGGCTGCACTAAATTTATAAAACAGCATGAGATTATATCAAGCACAGGAGAAAGTGCTGCAATCAAGAGACTTGGTAAACAAGATGTATGAGGCTGCTGCTGGTGTAACATGACATACTGTTTTACAGCAAGCTTTTTTTATATAAGTAGAGTACATTCTAAAATGACAATAAAAAGTATAGTATAGTAAATACATAAACCAGTAACAGTTTTTATTATTATCAAGTAGTATGTACTGTATGTAATTGTATGTGCTATATTTTTATACAACTAGTAGCACAATAGGTTTGTTTACATCAGCATCACCACACACACATAATGCATTGCCCTATGATATTCGGACAGCTACGAGGTCACTAGGCAAGAGGAACTTTTCCACTTCGTTATCTTATATAGGACCACTGTCATATAGGGGGTCCATTGTTTACTGAAACATCATTATGTGGCACAGGACTGTATTTACTAAAATAAAGAAAACAAAATTCTGAAATGAAGTAAAAAGATAAGCTATGATGCTAGTGTTCTAAATTGATATGTATTCAAAACATTACTGCTAACAGCAACAACTTTCTTCTGAATAGTGACTAGCAATGGGGATACGTTGCATATTATCTTTGTTTTTTGTAATAAAAATTATAAATGGACTTGTCCAGAATAAATTGCCAAAACCAATGAGAGTAGCCAGTGCAGGCAGATACCAGATTAAATACTTCAAAACTTGAAACAGGTTTTCTGTTTTTCTCCTGTAAGTGGCTATATTCTTTTGTCTAGAACATGGGTGGGGAGCCTTTTTTCTGCCAAGGGTCATTTGGATATTTGTAACATCATTCGCAGGCCATACAAAATTATCAACTTAAAAATTAGCTATGAAAAATGCTCCTAGATTCATTGAATTTCAAGTCCCGCCTGCAGTTGCCTTGGCAGGACCAGACCAAATGACTTCTCAGGCCAGACGTTCCCCACCCCTGGTCCAGGAAATCATTAAGCCTTATTTTTTAAACTGTTGTCTCAATTATCCGGTGACATATCTTTTCTATTTTCCAAGCAATTATTTCATGGCACTCCTGTTACAATTGAGAATTTCTTAAGTTGGAAAGCCAAGTTTGATGCAGAACTCTTGGAAATTAAAAAGAAACGAATGAAAGAAGAAGAACAAGCAGGAAAAAATAAATTAAGTGGTATGCCTTGCTTCTGTTTCCGGTTCCCCAAGTTACTTCTGATACAACAAGGGGATCATTTGGACAGGTTTCCATAAGAAATTCTTTTTTATCCTCACCAGAGGATATATTTACTGATTTTAGAGATAGAGAGAGAGAGGGAGAAAGAGAGAGAAAGAAACATCAACATGAGAGAGAAACATAGATCAGTTGCCTCTTGCACATGCCCCGACTGGGGATCGAACCCACAACATGGGTATGTGCCCTATAACGGAATCGAACCTGCAACCTTTTGGTACATGGACGATGCTCCAACCAACTGAGCCACCTGACTAGGGCTATGAGAAGATATACTTAGGCATCTATGGGACAAAAAGAGAAAGCATTCACTCTACATGATGATGTATCTTCACACAAAATTATAATTAATATTTATGGATTATCTTTTATCTAAATATTGCTTTGGATAGATCTTGAGATACAGCTACCATGACTTCTAGGATTATAAACCTTAAAAGTGATAGAGTCAAACCCATTTGTTTTTCTAGGACTCTGAGGCAGACTAGGTTATCAGTTGTCCCATTTTAATGCAAATACGTTTCATACGTCTCTTAGCTGAGTCCATAGATGTATTGAAATTCACAGAAAACAGATTTTCAGACTTGTTTTCTTGGGTTATTACACTTTTTAAAGGGTTATAGAGAAGATGGAGAAAACTACGCCATTCAAATTAAACCTATTTATTTCTTTTAGGGAAACAGCTATTTGAAACAGATCATAATCTTGACACATCTGATATCCAGTTCTTGGAGGAGGGTAAGATACTCCCAGAATTCCACATGTACATATTGTACTGTTTTTAATATCAAATCAGAGTGATAACAATATAGTAAATCTCTCCTCCCAAGGGTTTAAAGAAATACATTTTGAAAAACAAATTCTAATGTTTGATAAATTTATATGTTAAACTATATTAGTGTATTCAAGTTTTCTAATAACTGAAGCAAAATCGAAGATAGCAATAGATAAACGTTTATGATCACATTAGCCTCTAACAACTTATAAACGAGGCCACTGATTTAGGTGACCTGTTTTCCTCAAGTTTCTAGCATCATAAATGTATGGAAACTATTCCATGGTTTATAGTGAAGCTTTATAAAAACCTCAAACCTGGAGCTCCTCTTGCCCTCTAACCAAAAATCTTATATTTCATACCGCTCTTACTGTCTTTAGAACATCTGGTCCCTTACGCTTTCCTGCTTCTCCTTTTTATGCTAATTCTCACCCTCTTTCAGTCTTCCGTCTGTGCGTTATCCATCCATCCACAGGTATTTATTGTACCCCACCTATGGCCAGTGACCATCCTGGCTGCTGAGGATACAGCAGAAAATAGCATAGAAAAATTCCGTGCCTTCACGGAGCTTCTGGCTGATGTGTGTTTCTTAAACTCTGCTCCGTGCGCCACACCTCTGATGGCACCTTGCACTTCGTTAGCCTTCTGTCATGCCCATCTGGGGATCCGCTGGCATCTGGCCTTTCAACCTTGGTCCTGGACTTTCTGCTGCAGAAGGTTAGGCAGCAGTGTTGACGTGGCTCACTGTTAAGCCATGCTTCTCAACCTGAGCGCTGTGCCCTTTTCACGTTTTTAAGTGTATTTCCCATTGTAAAATACATTTTGTTATATTCTTGCTGCAAGATTTTTATAGTCTCAAAACAATCAGCAAGGTTGTCCTCATCTCTCCCTTTCTCATTTTAAGGGCTCGTTTTACCTCCTATTTTGTTGAGAAATTCTAGATCCAAAAAGCTTTGTCTCTTTCTCCTTTGTACTTTAGAAGTCTTACTGTTTTACTATCTTCATGCATTCTTGACTTCTTTCCCTGTCTAATAGATCAAATATCTCCTCACATCCAATAACTTACCAAAGATTGTGGATTCTGCTGCTAAAATGTCTTCTCAGCTATTTTCTCCTGATATTGCAGGTTTTATCATTTTTCACCTGGCCTTTTGTGGTAGCCTCTTAAATTATATCCCTGCAGCAGTCTCGTCCTCTTTCTAGTGACCTTACAAATCCTATTGTCACTGTCTCTGAGGTGTTATTTCTAAAACCACATGACATTTGTCTCCTTAAAATCTTTTGGTTCTCTACTGCTCAGAGGAAAGTTTGGCCTAAGCAATTCTTCAGTCTTTCTTCATCTGTTGTGTCCAGATAGTTTTCCTCAAGAATCTTATGTCCTAGATAGAAGTATTCAGTGTCTCCACTTGTCTGTCTGCCTTGACATATACTTCTGCCTAGAATTGCTTCATTCTGGCCTCTTTTCTTCTTGGTGGATCCAAATGTATCAGGAAGATGTTTCAGAGGTCCTCTGCTCTGTGAAACCTTCACTACCTCTGTCAGACAGAGTCAGTCATGTTTTGGCTTGGACTTAGCAAATTGTATTTGATTACTGACCTCATATGCAAGATTTATTTTATTGAGTTGAACATCAGTGGGTTAGGGCCCGAGGGGGAAGGAAGGTGAACAATTTGGGGCATAAGAGTACTGTTATATCCTGCCTTTATATACTTCAGACAGACTGAAGAGTGAAGATATTTAATGAAAGCCTGGGTATTGTTTCCTATATGGCTTAGACAGTGGGCATCTTGGAAAGGCATGCCATTGCTTACAAGGCGAACTGGGTGACAGTGAAGATGAAGTTAAATCTATCACCTAAATAACAAGTACAGCTGAGCTTTAATGATATGCATATCTGCCAGGATTAGAAGAGATAAGCTCCTGGTATGAGACCCTTCGTCAGTGATCATGAACTTTGTATAACCAGGACATATCATTGTCTTCAACTTGTCACATGCCACAGCATAAATCGTTCATTCTAGAAAGGCTTTTTTTATAACTGGATTTTTTAGACTGTGAACTGGAAGCATGAAGTTGTTCCTAAAATGTGTGAGTCTGCTGACCATTGCAGACCACTGTTGGTGTGATTTGCTGCAGCAGTTTAAGTTTCATCACCTCCCACGCACGTGGAGAAGTTTCTGTCTGTATCTTTCATGCCTAAGTATAAGAGTGAAGGTGAAATCTTCTGTCTTTGGCAGCTGGAAACAGTGTGGAGGTGGATGAGTCTTTGTTCCAGGAGATGGATGACTTGGAGCTGGAGGATGAGGCTGACGATCCAGACTATAATCCTGCTGACCCAGAGAGCGACTCAACCGACTGATGGACGTCCGTCTGCAGAGGCTTGACCGCCACAGCATCTGTGGCTGTTCTGAGAGGGTGCTGACTTTCCTTTCTTTTTTTCTAAGAAAAAATAATTTTCAGGAGAATATTCTTCTGAAGGCTTTCATCAATGAGCTTAATAAACTGACCTTAAAATTTCAAATATACAATGTTGAGTTGCTCTTATTGGTGGGAAGAAGGTCACATTTAAAGTCACTTAGTGCTGGAGAGACCGGCCATCCCTTCAGACTCGGAGAGACGCTGGGCTCTGGTGTGGGGTCACGTGTGAGGAGCTGGAACAACTCAGAGTTTCTGTGCTGGAGGCAGTGGTGGCTTTGGATTCCGAGTGTTGTCATTTATATAAAATACTAGAAGACTGAGGTGAAAAGAGCGTTCAACCTCTGAATTCTAGCCTTTGGACATGATAAATTGAAGTCTTAACAAAACCAGAAGCCCATATTGTAGTCAGGAATAAAATGGACTTTAGCCCTGTCATAGTTGAATCAGAACCATTTGTGGACTTATTAAAGTGTGTACTTCTAGGCCCTTCTCAGTTTAGGTTAATAAACCCAGAGCCTCAATCTGAATCTTAAAACAGTGACATCTCATGCCAGTGACTTGGTGGTTGTGATGCACACTCCTGATTAGGTAGCACTGTCCTACGGTTGTGAAGTCTATGTTGCGATGCCCCCTACATTTCTAAACCCGGATGAAGGGGTCTGAATCCTTGGGGTTGTACTCTGTCTACAAGAGAACCGCATTCCACATCCATGCCTATGTGAGGCCTTCGGAATTATTGGAATGATTGACTCGGGGATTCCAGGTGGGAGAACCAGGCTTCAGGCAAGTCATCCAGTCACTGCAGATTTGGAGGATTCAATCTTCACCTCATGAGAAATCCCTGTGCTATTGCGAATAGCTGCCTCCGTTCACAAGTGCATATATTCCACATGCCCAAAAACAGCCATATCGATCCCACGTTTATATTTGGAGTCAGCTCTTATGGTTAAAATCCAATCATTTGACACAAAGCTATCATTGAGGAATGTAATACTGTTCACCAGCTAATGCAGGAAACAAAGACAAGCTGGTTGGTCCTAATGATACTTTCAAGTGCTTTCATCCAGATTAAATATTAACTTTACTGTTGGCTTTGTATTCTGCGAATTAACCAAAGGTTCTCAAACTGGAGCATATATCTTACCCAGGATAAGGAAATGCCTCATTCCCCTCAGCCTAGTCCCTGGTAATTCCAAAAGGCATCAGGGTTCCCTGGCCTCCATCCCTAGATCATCAGGTAGAAAGGCCTGGAGGTGGAACCCTATGGAACTCTGTCACATAAGGGAGTCTTCTTCCCACAAATGAAAGTGCTCAGAGGACAAGCAAAATGAAGCCGTATTGTTGCCAACCTCAAGCAGACAGTTAAACCAAAGCAATTAAGGACCCGAAAACATGAGCATGGGTGGGCTACTGCCACGTAACCCAAGATGTTAAAAAATAAGCTATTGGTTTTGACCATACCAGTCCAAACATATTGAAATGGTATATAATCATTAAAATAAATCACCTCCAAAGTTGATGCTATTTTTAATAGATTGATTCTTGTGGAACTTAGACTATTTTGAAAATATGGGTTAGAACCTTTTTCATCTGTACTTGTAAGATACTTTTTTTTAAAAACGTCCTTATTTTAGTTTGGATGTATCTTCTGACATTTAAATTTTGTTTTTAAACTATCAGACAGCTCCATTTCTATCTAAAGGCCCTAAAGACATTAGGATCTGTTACTGATAGTGTTTTAAAAGGCAAATATTGATGCTAATGCCCTTGAACATGACATTGAAGGAAGACGTTAGGCACATTCTCAAAGGTAGGCATTTGATGTCTCTCTCCTCACTGTTATGAACTAATCTTACAGGATTCTGTTTAAGATAGAACTGTCTCTCTATTTTTACATGGGGTGGTTGTGATTTCTGTTTCTGATATTGGTGCTCCATTGATGATGAACCAGCACACATTGATCCTGCCCCAGGGAGCTTGAGCACAAGGGGAAAAAGTGAAGATTTAATATTTGATACTTAATATTTTAGTTCACTACTGGAAATTAACACATTGTTTAGTATGAAAATATAGATGGTTCTGGTCAAAAAGGGTGAGAATTGGAATCATAGGCTCTTCTAACTGGGAGCTTGAAAAACATTCACTTAAGCTCTGATCCTCAATTTCCTCTAAGGTGGGGATTATAATACTTTCTTAATATGCAAAATTTATTTTAAAAGGAAAGTTAAGAAACACATTCAAAACTGGTCAGTTACCAGCAAAGTTCTCCCCAGGGCTTTGTCTGCAAATCTCAGCTTTCCCACGTCACCATATCCACCTGCCTGCCTTACACAATCAGATTATGGTGAAGTACACTGCTGTGGACTAATGTCTGTGTGTCCCCGAAATCCATGTGTTGAAACCCTAACACCCAAGGTGGTGACACCAGGCAGTGGGTCCTTGGGAGGTGATGAGAAAGGTTAGCGCCCTAGTCAGAGAGGCCCTGGCAAACTCACCTGCCCCTCTGCCCTGTGAGGCTACAGTGAGAAGACAGCCAAGGAGCAGG